ATCAGGCTATGAATCCTTTAATATTCATACCGCATCATTTGGACGTGTGTTTACACATAAATAGTGTGAGAAATAATACAAGGTAGAAGATATTGAGAGAACTCAACTTGATTATTCCTTCAAGCTATTGGGGTTTAACTAGCTGAGTATACATGTCCTAAGAAAGGAAAGAGAATAAAAAACGTAGTCACAGGGAGTAAATCATGCTATATTCACAACATCCTAGACTCCTAGATTATCTACAAGATTCTGACACTTTCTCTTAAGCTGGTGCATATAAATCATATGTACCAAGCTTGTTAAAAATATAGTTGATACGAGAGTGAGGGACTTAGTGGAATTATCTGCAAGCTTATTTTTGACATTACGAATTTCGTAAAAATATCTCCTGTGAGTATCTTTTCACTAATGAACTAACTGTCAATATCAATATATTTTGTTCTCATGAAATACCGGATGAAGAGCAGTTTGGTTATTGCGCACAAGTTCCATCTAGCTGATTTCTCCAAAACTTCAATTCTCTCAGCAACTGTTTAGTCCAAATTAGTTTGTAAGTTGCCACAAGTATTGCTCAGTATTCTGCTTTTGCACTAGATAGAGGGACCAAATTTTGTTTTTTGCTTTTCCGAGATACTAAATTACCTCATACTAGGACACAATATCCATACGTAGACCACATACCAGAAGGTGATCCCACCTGATCAATGTCTGTGTATCCAACAAATTGCTCATGACTTTGATCCTCAAAAAACAATCCTTTGCCCGAGCTTGATTTTAAATGGGGCTGATATTTATATGTCGAAGAATACGGACAACTGCATCCCGGTGACTGGTCCATGCTTCGGGCATCATTGTCAATTACATAACCAAGTGTTAACGAGTTAGGGGTCCCTTCTCTGCTGTTGTTCCTTTCATATTCATTTTAGAGAAAAATTGTCCTAATTCAACTAGTCACTGTTGAAGTAGATATGGAACCTAAATGATTGTCTTTAAGTTGACTAATGACACCACTATTAGGTGCATGGACAATTCAGAGCCATGTTTCTGCACTTGCTAGGCAGCGAAACCAGCAGTTTGGATGAGCGGCTGACGGACCTATTGGTGTAACTTAGCATTATATTTGGGTAAAGCTTAATAGCTCTTCTGCCCCCAGCTTGAACTTATAAACGTCAATACTACGTTTGATTGGGGTGAGAAGAGGAGGAATGCAGGGGCACTAGTAAAAAAAGTGGTGTAAAGGCATCTTCCTCGTGTGGTAAAGAATTAAAATTAGAATGGCAGGTAAACATATGAAGTCAATCTTTTCGTTTGGATGGCGACCTAGAGTGCTATATATAACGGGCTGAGAATTTAATGAGGCATCACTTATCAGTTGGGGCTTCATGAGCAAAGAAATGGGGGAGGATGTATCTTTCTGTACTTTGCAAACTTTTGGTATAACTGTGGAATAGAATGCTGAAGTTCTTTTGGTGTAAGCTGAAAATACCTGAAACAGTTAAGGAATTATTTTGTATTCCTCAGACAGTATGATGACAACATCGCTAGAAAGAGGTCATAGAGCTGTAGACGGAGTCCTTCTCTTAGGTGCAGATGGTGCNCAAAAAAAAAATCCTATATGTAGGTAGACTTGATGTATTCTTCTTGAATTTGAGGTTGGCTCTTTTTTTTTCCTATAAAATTTATTTAAAAAGCATTAATAATTCTACATTAGTTTTCAATCCCGGCAAAGTTGGAGGCAGAATGTAGATGCCAGTTTACATCCTTCCTGCTATGGTAAACAAATGGAGGGAAAGAACAAATCTGTTCATAATGGAAGTAAATCAACAGTCATCTTCCCGCTCCCTAATCCCTCCCCTTCCTTGAGCAAAACATTTTGTGAATGAGAATCTTTTTTTAAACAAAATATTGGAACCTCCACTTATGGCTATTTAACATTTAGTACTAGCTCAAAGCTACTTATAAGGTCTGGTGAAAACTAACTAGTGGCTTATATGAATTGTTTTTTGAACTATGGCCATTAGCTTTATTGAGCACCTGTAAGCAGATACTAAGCTGTGCCAAGTAATTTAATGGTGGCATATTGACAAAAGTTCATATCGATTTGCAATGTTTTCCCCGCAGTATGTTAGAACGTGCGCACGAAGCACGTGTTTACACAGGTTGAGATGAGTCCAAGTGGATCGAATTGGATATTGAGGATTCATATAGCTGACATAACTAGCTAAATGAGGCGTATTTGCTATAGTTAATGAAATCAAGCATTATATTTAAGTTTTTCAATGTTGACTTGGATTGCAAAATAGGTTATGGATATGAATGGTCTTGTTCCTTTCTATTCCTATCATTGGTGCCTTCTTGGTTTTTCTTGATAAGCATTTTTAAGCTTTGGTTATGGATTTGTAACTTGGTGATGCTGGTGTTTTTCTGGGATGATAAGTTGCTTTTGACATGTTTTTCTTATGGGAGTGTCTTGGAAATAGATTGTTGAACTCTTTGTTCTGGTGATCTTGGTTACTATTTCTTTCTATTTTGTAAAAGGTTCTCTTTTCCCTCTCCTCTTTTTTTCAACACCATCTTACTCGTGATTTACTCATCTATTTTTTTTCCAGAAAGGACTGGACTCCGCAGCATACGGGTGAAGCTTTTGGAAGCTCACCGATGGCTAGGTCCTCTGTTGGTGGCTTATATTCCACACCAAATGTACAGTCTTTTTGGTCTTCTGAATAAAAAAAAAGAAAGAAAAAGGAAAAAATGGGATAGAGTACAAGGGACTTGAACACACCCTCCTGTTACTGAGGAGGAAAGTACCCTCTTTTTGGGAGGACAGTTTAGAATGCTGCACTCATTGTATCTTCTTTTCTCTAAAAAGGAAGAGTTACATTAGATGATAGCGATGTATGTTTCCACGTATGCGCTTCTAATCAAGTAAAAATCAATTATGATACGGCTGAGTACTTCTCTTTTGATCTTTTTGACACAGAGGGGCAATCGCTGATATAGATGAATAGAGCTGTTTCCACTTACATGTTACATAGTTTTGGATACAACTCATATAGATGTCCTATTAAGGCATAGACAGTACTTCCATTTATACTGCATTTCTCTGCAAGGTTCAGCGAAGTTTTTGAAGGACTAAGCAGTGAAGGAAGCCTTTTATTTTTCGTTTTTGGTTGAGGTTCGTGCATTTGTTATGATGCATTTTTCAAGCGAGAAAGAGGAAATATGGGGGCTTGCTTGCACCTATACAGGTTTTGATCTGTTGTCCTTACAGTTAAAACAGGGAACTGTTTAGTGTATATAGCTCTTACTCAGCTGTTTGACATCTAACTTATCCTTGTCTTCTATCTGCTACATTTTCCCTTCTCTTTTTTCCTGCTGTTTCTGTTTCATGTGCTTTCGCGTATGAGTTCTAGCAAAAGGCAGTATGTGGCATGTTCCCTGGTGAAATTTTGGGTTCAGATCGCAATAATGGCTTGATATCCATAAATTAGAATCTAGGTGGAAGAACCTGTACAATAGAATGGGAACCACATGTTCTTAACATATCACTTATCAGCAAAAAGTATTTTCTCCATTTAGATGCCCAGCTATGAAGGGGAAAAGGAATGAAAAATGCGTGTTTCAAAATTTAGCGTATATTATGGAGTATCATATGGAAAAACTGTGATATATTCCAGGTGGATATTGAGTCTCTTTGTCCAAGTGCCCCTTGTATGTAAAAAGATATATGATACTATTTCTTACTAAAAGCGCCTTTTTTGCAAGCTACTTTTTTAGTAACAAGTTCGAACTATATACAGAAGTTCATAATTAGTTTCAATATATTTCTTTTCCTCCCGATGTCAGCTATTGTTAATAGTTTGATCAATTGCAAAATACATAAAGAGACACTTAAAGTTGGCCTCAAATATCTATCACATTCCAGTTTACTCAATGATCAAATAGACATTTCTTGTTGGCCAAATTGTGCCTTTTGAACACTTGTGTTTGTAAGTCTACCCGCGTGAAATACAGTATGTGCTGACATGTCAAGTCAACAAATGAAAATGTGTAATTTCAAAATAAAATAATTATCACCTTAATGATAACTTAGTTTAAAAAACTCAAAAAGAATAATTTTTCCTACCCCTCCAGGTCCCTACCCCAACTTCTTCTTCATTTTGAAAATCTAAACCAGACCCCTTCCATCCTCCATCTTCTTCTCTGGCACTCCCCTCACCCCAAAACCAACGACCCTTTTTCAAAATTTTTACTCTAAAGCCCTTTAATAGTTCCTTAATGAATCTGCAAACCGAGAAGCCATCTACACCCCATCACAGAACCTCATCGGAAAAGCTCACCTCCGGCGAGCGGCGACCTCTCTCTTCATCTCCTTCCCACCTGGGTTTCCTAGTCTCTTTCCCTTATCCCTTCTTTTTTCAATCTCATATTTTTTTTTTCTCCATGAGTTTTTTTATTTGCAGTACAAAATGCCCAAACAAAGAAACAAATTGCGTATCTTTTTTTAATTTTCTATTCGTTCTACTTCCTTGCTTAATTTTTCACTTTAATTTGAATTTTAGTGGGATTTTTTTTATAACTTTTACAAACTGCATCTCCTTGTTGAGGTGGTGAGGTGAGGGTGATGTTGAGGTTGTGGCTTGATTGTGATGGTGGCTATGACTTAATTGCGGATGAAGAAAGTGGGTCCACATGGAAAACATTAAAGCAAAAATATAATTTTATGCATCTTCACGCACTCAAATTTGAGTGAAAGACTCATTTTGCCATGTCACCAGTGTTTACGAGATATATCTGTGTCAAGTTGAAGTGTCTACTTGATCATTGAACAAGTTAGAGGGCCAACTTTAAGTGTCTTTTTATTGTATTTTGCCTTGATTAATTTACAATACAAGTGATTGACAGCTGAGGAAGAAAAAGGTAGATACACTGAGAATGGTTCATCGGTACAATGTTCTCAATTTAGAACAAGTTTAACTTTTATATACCGGCAATTAAGGTCACTAAAAGATGGTCAATATTAAACCAACGGTTCATAAAAGTGGATGAAAAGTTAGTCAATATACCTACCAAATACAATGATAATATAACAACTTCTTACACTGCTAGCGTGAACCAAGTCAAAGGTAAAAGTAAACTCGAGCTTGGATCAAGAACATAAAGAAAATACAGAATGGAGTTGATCTTCTAGCATTAAAACATAACTACATTGGCAATGTAATTGTAGTTCCTAAAGTGCATTCTGAGGTGAATCAGTGTCAAATTCTTCCTCTTCTGGCAGCAGAGTCCGTGGCTCATCACCTTGCCAAGTCCACACAATATCTTTCAATGCTGGTCTTATATCCTTCTTCATCATCTTCTTATACTCTATAGTATCTCCACTATTTTTCTTCACCTCAACAAAGTGAAAATTTGGAGTTACTTCAAAGATTTCTGTATCAATAGATAACACTCCTTTTCTTCCTTCTTTAGATCCTTCTAACTTCAATAACCCTCCATCCTTTTTCGTCACCTTCAACTTTAAACGCTTAGCTACATCCTCTAGCTTTGAGATGATTGTTTTCGCCGGTTGCCTTGATGTAAATCTAACTTCCCTCTTTTTGTTTCTTTCTTCAAACAAACCAGACAAGTCAAAACCAGTTGACAATGATATAATATCAAATGCATTCAAGTGTGCAGGCTTCACCATTTCGGGCTTTGGCTCTGTTTTCTCACAAACACTAAAAACAGCATCATCATTTTCAAGTGCTGCCTCCTTTGGCTCTGCATCTTTAAGCATTGGTTTCAGTTGCAAGCCTTTCTTGAACCAAGAATTCTCCATTATCTTGGAAATGGAAATTCTTGTGCTTGGATTTGGATCTAATATTTTCGATATAAGCCTGCGAGCATCAGGAGGGAACCAGTTAGGACATCTGAACTCAGCCTTACCAATCTTTTTGTACATCTCCATTAAATTTGAATCATGGAATGGTAGATATCCAGCCAAAAGGACATATAATATCACCCCGCATGACCAAATATCAGCTTTAGCACCATCATATCCTCTTCTGTTTATCACTTCTGGTGCAACATAAGCTGGTGTCCCACATGTAGTATGAAGCAAACCATCTTGTCTCTTAGATTCAGCAAAGGCACTCAATCCAAAATCTGAAATCTTTAAATTTCCATTTTCGTCAACCAATAGATTCTCCGGTTTCAGATCTCTGTGATAAACTCCTCTACTATGACAGAAATCAATAGCACTAATCAACTGCTGAAAATACTTTCTTGCAACATCTTCTTTTAACTTCCCTTTAGCCACCTTATTAAATAGCTCTCCGCCTTTCACATATTCCATCACAAAATAGATCTTCTTTTTGCTCGCCATAACCTCATACAGCTGCACAATATTAGAGTGTCTAACCAATTTCATGACCGAAATTTCGCGTTTGATTTGATCAATCATCCCAACTTTCACAATCTTCTCCTTATCAATCATCTTTATCGCCACATTCAATCCAGTCTTGACGTCTCTTGCGTGATGGACCTTAGCAAAAGTACCTTGTCCTAACAATTTCCCTAACTCATACCTTTCCATTAGTACACTACTCCCCTTACTCTCCATATCAACTTCAACAAACCAGAGCAATTAAACTCAATATTTATATACAAGATGCAAGATTTATCAAGAATTGAACAACTCAGCCATCTTCACTAATATCGTGATACGATACTATTTGACCCTGAAAATATCTAGCAGGATTTGGCATTTGATGCGAGAATCTGGATGAAACTAGAGGTGCAATGTCATCAAGTATAAAGGAAAGCTTAAATAGAGCTTCAATCTCACTTAAGCACATCTTTCAGCATTCCCTGGTCTTTTTAATGGACTAGAGAATACTAAAGAGGATGAACCCTAATTTTCCACACTGAGCAAATGATTTGTTTACCTGAATAAATCAAAAAGGGTAACTAAGAATATAGTTTAACATAATTGGTTTTGCGGGATTAACTAATATATGGTCACTTAAAAGCCAATTAAGTGCTGAATATATTAACTTCATTATAAAAATAAGATAGCTGCAAACAAATCCACGAGTCCCTGAATCAGAGGCTGTCAAGATCAAATAATTTAAAAGAAAAAAAAAACAAAAGCAGAAATACATTAAAGATCAATTCTTTGATTTAGGAAAACAAAAAAAAAAGTGTTGTATTAGCATAAATTTTGAACAAGTACTATTGAATCTTGATTTAATTGTCGCTCTGCTTTACATCCTGAAGAAATGGAAAATGGATGAAGGCATAAAATCCATAAATAAAACTGCAGAAGATTTTGAAGAGCAACATAACAAGCCTATGCGAAAACTTAGACAAATTGTAATATGGTTACCTTCAAACTGAAGAATTACTCAACCCCTGCAGCCGCCTTCAAAAAGATTAATGTTTAATTATGTGTTAATATTTGTGAAAATATTTAGACAGACACAGAATGTGGGAAAAGGCATGGGCTTTTTATACAAGCTCTTTGTCTACTATTGCTAGTTGTTTATAATAATACACCCTCCTACCTAAATTGTAGCTTACTCTTTAGCTTTTCTAATTTTGATTAGTATAGACATCTTAAAAGCCAATACTAACTTCTATACACTTTAAGGGCTCTTTCGGTTTGAATACGGTCTATGCTAGGATAAGTTATGTTGGGATAAGTTATGCTGTGATTAGTTATCCCGGTATTATTTTTTATCCACTGTTTGGTATATTGTATAAAAAATGACAATTGCATAATTTCTAAGAAGAAGATATAAGTTATCCTGTCACTAATTACCCCACCCCCTACAAGGTATAAATTATTCCGGTATTAAGTATAATACCGGAATAACTTATACCAGATTTGCTAACCAAACAAAGTATTAAGGTGGTATTAAACTTTTATACCAGCACTATATCTACTTATACCTCATACCAAACAACCCCTAAGTGGGGAATAAATTCTTATACTGTCAGGTCACCTAAGCATAGGGTCTATTGGAAATAACCTCTCTATCCTCACAAGGTAGGGTAAGGTGTGCGTATACATTACCCTCCCCAGACCTCACGGTGTGGGATAATACTGTGTATGTTATTGTTGTTGTTGTTGTCAGGTCACCTAAATGAAAATTAAAAGTATTGTCCATGAAAAGTGAGATTAGTAAGTGCTCCAATAGGTTAAGGGAGTCTTCAAAAATATTTTCAGGTAAATATGTATCTATAATAAATTGTGTGCATAAATGGGTTGTGGATTCGGTGGCAAGGGAGGAGTCAACGGAGTCCATAAACTACAAATCAGCCTACGAGTTCAAATACAACAACAACAATAAAAAATTCAATAGTTTTTCACAAGTGGGGTTTGAGGAGGGTAAAATATACATAACCTTATCCCTACCTTGGAAAGGCAGAGAGGCTGTTTCCGACATTATGAGTCCAAATAATATAAATTAAATTACACTGATAATATAAAAAATATTTTATGCAAAATAATGTATATAAGTTAAATCCAATTTGTAACGTGTGATATTCCTTGAGTAGTTTCTGAAATCATCTCTATTAAAGAATTTATCGTCTATACTTGATCAAATTAGCTGTAAATTACGGAAAATGAAACAATTTAAAACAGAAATGTTTTCAGAGTTGGCAATCTCTGAATGGTTAAATAGAATGGGACTGTAATTGCCATCTGTATTCATAATGCAGGCGAAGCCATATAGGTACATAAAATTAATATGTCAGAATATTCATTATATTTGATTACCATATTGCTTTTGTCCCCTATAGCAAGATAATATTATGACATGCATGAACATAGGACAATTCTTAGCAAAAAAGAAACAATCATTGTGATTTGTGATAATAATATTTAATAAAGTTGGTGACAGCAACTGAGGTAGATCTTATCTTAGGCCACTGTTTCCTCTTTTATTTATTTTTACTTTTAACACTATACATATTGCAAATAAGCTTGTCACTTGTCAGTTAGTTCGAAATCTAGGCATAATTATTGTTGTTAAAGTTTTCGTATGAATTAATCATAATATCTATTAAATTTTGATTACCGATAAGAGCAACTATATTCCCCATTATAGCGTTAGAAAAAAAAATCTTAGAAAAGAAAAGGCATGAACGGATAGATAACATAATTCGTCCATTTAAAAGCCAACAAAAAAACTCCACTTATATATGTGATAACGTTGAGGTATATATCATCTTTGTTGAGGTAATTGCAGGTTTATTTTATTAATTTTGTGAATTGGGTAGTGGTAGAGCTACTACATTGACTTGGTCCGTCCCCAAAAAATAAATTGAAGGAACTTTTTAACTTTATAATTGTTTAAATTTAATATAAACCTAATTTAAGAGTAGATGTCAAATTTAAAATTCAAGGATTATCTCAACTTTTAGTTCTTATTTTTTTTTTTCAAATAATTTAAATTTTAAACTTTTATTGATATATATATATATATATTGTGTTACTATTAATAAGTCAATTATAGAGTTTAAATTGAATTTATAACCAGAAAGAAAAAATAAATTGGAAGTTGGAGGACTTATTTATAGGAAAGCAGCTCCCATCAAATGGTCCTACAACAAAAAGTAGGCAGGTGGTAGCCAATGCAACAATGGCAGTTGAGAATTAATTAGAATAAGGTCTTCTTATGCTTTTGATTGGTTGGTAGAGTGGACTAAAAGACTAGAATGATCCACGAAGAAGACTTGCGTCAACTTTTTTTATTTTATGCGAAAAAAGGCACAAATTGCTGCCTTTAAACTATCCGAACTAGGTTATTTTTACCCTTCGTCAAATTATGGTAAGTGTGAAGTCCTAAGACATGATTTTTAAGTGTAGTAGCAGATAATCAAATGAGTTAGCACAAAATAGGTCCTATAAACATGATTTCTAAATGACATCGCAAATTACATAGACAGTGTTTGATTACCATTATTTAGGATCCTAAACTCATAATTTCTAAGTGAAGCAGAAAAAAAGAAGATCCTATAAGCATGAAAACTAGTATCAAGCAATATGCAGGAACTAGAGCACAATTTACAAGTAGCAGGCAAGGCTAGTTGGACCTATAGGTATGTTATCTACCCAGTTATGCAAGAATTAAACTACCCTAGGTCCTTTTTAACTAATTTTCCCCATTATCAATTTTACAAATTATTATGTGGAAATGGTGTGGGGTAACCACTGTTTAAGCTGATATTTACTTTTTATCCAACATTTTTAATGCTTAGCAATAGTAGCCACTAGTCTATTAAAAATAATATGAAAAGACAGTGCTACCCTTTCCTCTCCAAACGGAAATACACTGATGCATTCAAAACATAAAGACTTCGTTTTAATTTGTGCTTGTTCACTACTGTTATGATTGACAACGATGCTTTTGGTTTTGAAAACAGCTGCTAATACATGTGAGCACGTGATTTTTGCCTCATACGAATTACTCCAAAATAACTCCCGAAATTAGGTCTTTTTTTTAATTATGTGTTATTTTTAGGAAATATTGTACGGATTTCCTGTTTGTTTGCATAGGTATATGTGCGTGTGTAATTTTATTAATGTATTTAAAAATAATATAATGTAATATGTGTTGCATGTGCATTTAGGATTTAGTTTTTCAATTTAGGAATTAACAGGTTTGTTTTACAAAAAGAAAAATCACAAAAAATATGTAATTGTTGTAATTTTGTCATTTAAATGTGCCCTTATGTGATTTCATTGATTTGCGTGTTAATTATTGTAAGTATTAATTAATATTTGTAGTTGTATTTAGCTTTTATAATTAATTAGGAATTGTATTTAAATCCGAACATTAAAGAAGAAAAAGGAAAAGAATTCAAAAAATGAAGAAAGAATCGGATTGGGCCAGTTTTAAGCCCAAAGAGTTGCACTTCCTACCCAGCCCATACCCGTCCCAAATCCAGTCCACCTGTATCTAAATTAAACGACGTCGTTTCATCATGCTCAATCTGGTTTGTTGATTTCACTTGATCAACTCTCCAGATCAAATCTTCCACACCCGACCCGTTCCCGTCCAAAACTGATTCGGTCTTGAGGATAAGCAAAACGATGTTGTTCCACTTACTCGATTAATCCAGACCATTGATCTCATCAGATCGAACGGTCTGGATCCAACCCTCATGTGCATATATAAAGGGTCCAAACTAACCCCGCCCCCCCAAACCAGGCCCCCCTCCTCTCATTTCTCATCAAACCTCGTCTCTTTCAGAGACGAGGAACCCTAATAGCCGCCACCCCGTTCCCTCGCCGTAAACCCGGCGGAGCCGGCTCCAATGGCCGTGAAATTCACACCACTAGAGCACCTAACTGCCCTCTTCACGAATCCCTTAACCATTTTGCTCGAATCAGGCCGAAGCTCCTCGAATCTTCAATCGAAGATTCGAGCAAAACCCAACACTACCCCAACTTACCTGAAACTCACACCTGATATCCGCTAGGTTTCCCCCATAACATAAAAGATCTTGGTTCTGTTCGAATATGTCTAGAAATGCTCGAATTTTAGATCAAAAAATCAGGAACCCTAAAAAATCCAAATCGTGGAATTTGTCCAAATTAAATGAGAGATTGGGGTCTAATAGACTTTAATCGAGGTATTCTCAATTGAGAATACTTCGAGTAAAGTCTGTTCAACCTCAAAATCTCCGAATCCTAGTTTGAGCCTGTGTCTGTATAAGTTCTGAAGGTTTGAGGTATTTTTCTTTTTTCTTTTTCTGTATTTATGATTTTTGTTTATCTGTGTATTTGTGTATTTTAGTTTTGATTAATTTTCCACACTTTTTCAATTCATCTTTTCATTCCCAGTGACCCTTTTATTTGGTCGATTTCTCTTCCGTAATTAAGTTGTATATGTTATAAACTACGTAGTCGATTTGATTAATGTCGTCGAATAGTTAGCTTCATAAACCCCCTGTGTTGAACAAAACCATGAATTACCCTGTTAGTATGCTTAATTCTGTTTGTGTTGTGTATATGTAATTGATTAATTAGATGTCAATGTTCAGTTTGTTCATATAAGTTTGAATCATTTTTGGCATTCTGTTTGGTTTTAATTTCGATGGTTGATGGTCTGATTAGTTAAAGTTCTGTTTGATTGTACACAATGTTCTGAATCCTGGGAATCTTAGTATTTAAGGTATTCTTTGCCTTAAAACCTTTGAATTGGTTATAGCTGTTGTAGTTAATTGAATTCAGATAGTGGTTGGATTTGAGTAGATTGGAGAGGTTCAATGCAGGTTGAAAGGGAGTGGGTAGGCCAGTAATTTTATAACTTTCAGGGCAGTAATAGTAAGGGAATTTCAGGGGTGTTTGGGGAATAAAACAGTTAGTATGATACTTTATTGCTAGTGCTTTATCAATGGGGTATTAATTAATCCTAATGGGGAACCAAAGGAAGTGGAGGGGCTGAAATTAAGGGAAAGTTTTCCTTAGTGACTGATTAATTAGAAAAGCAGTTTTAGTG